GTGAACAGAGATGCGCTTTGGGCAATTATGGAAAAGTTCGAGTACCCAACAAATTTCTTACAGTGTGTAAAAGCCTCCATAACAACAACAAGTCAAGAGTGTCACATCATGGATCACTGAGCGACCCATTCCTAACAAATACAGGAGTTAGGCAGGGATGTGTCTTAGCGCCTCTCCTATTCAACATATTCATGGCAGCGCTCTCCATTATAGTAGACAGCAAACTGCAGGAGAGAGGATTGGGCATTAGATACAGATATGACGGCGGTCTGTTCAACATAAAAAGACTCAGGGCAAAAACACGTACAAAATTTATCACAGAACTTCAATACGCTGACGACTGCGCTCTAGTTGCAAACACGGTACAACAATTACAAGAAATGTTGAACACATATACCTGGGCATACGAGGCTTTGGGCCTTAAGCTGAACATCGGCAAAACTAAAATCATGTGCACTCCCCCGGAAGATCACAACAATGCTATAAAAATCGGAGAAGAACTATTCGAATATGTGGCGGAATTCAATTACCTTGGCAGTTTGATTTCGGAAAAGGCCAATATTGACTCTGAAATTCAGCACAGGATTAGTAGCGCCTCAAGAGCATTCTGGAAATTAAAAGACAGGGTTTTCTACAATCATGACTTGAGTACAAAAACAAAACTTGCAGTATACCGAGCAATTATAATCCCCACCATGATATATGGGAGCGAAACCTGGGTGCCTTACCGCCGACACATGAACGCATTGAACAAGTTGCAACAGAGACACCTTAGACAACTCTTAAGAGTCCGGTGGTTCCATCATGTCTCAAACGTATCGGTCCTTGAAAAATCTAACTGCGAGAGTATTGAAGTCATGGTCACAAAATCCCGCTTAAGATGGGCTGGTCACGTATGCAGAATGCAAGAAAACCGCATACCAAAATCTCTGCTTTACGGTGAGCTTGTGGACGGTAAGAGGAGGCCGGGTGGACAACTGAAAAGATACAAGGACATTTTCCACGAAAATTTAAAGGGAATTAACATGCAGAATGAGTGGGAAAAAGCAGCTCACAATAGAACTCAATGGAGAAGGGTTGTAAACTCAGTTAACAGCGGCAACCAAAAAGTAGAGAGGCAACAAAGCAATGAGATTTTTGAATGTCCGGAGTGCGGTAGGCAGATAACATCACGTATCGGGCTTTTCAGTCACAGAAAAGCTCATGAAAGAAAACGCCTTGCGTGACCATTTTCTTTATGTGTGTCGAATACTCGTCAGCGAGTAACGGCTGTATGAACCCTTGGATTTGCCGCTGGTTAGTAGGAACAATAAGTAAATAAACCAATAAGTAAATAAACCAATTTTTACTGAACCGATAAATGGGAAAAGAAAAATACAATTTCCTGAACATCAAATGACAAACAATGATATGAATTACAAAATGTATTTACGAAATGTTCTATTAAAAAGAACATATATAATTTTGAGCGTAAGGTTGATATAGGTAATAGATTACCTCGGACAAGATGTATGGAGAGATTAGGACATGATAGGTTAAAGACTAAGATATCCAGAAAGCGTAATGTTTATTCTTTTCAGCGTTTTTTTTTGGAATGATGAGAAGTGCTCGTGGTTCTAACGATCACCTCGACTTTTCATTCAAATGTTCCGTTTAATAAGCACCTACTCACTGGTTAAACCACCTAAAGGGAGTAATATCAAAGTGTCTGACTTATTGGGAAGTCTATTGAATGTTGAAGAGATTGTTAAGTTGGAAGATAATGCAATAAGGCTTCGAAACGGTGTTGACATTTTGTTGGAAAATGTAATTTGGTTTAAAAATAGCCATAGTGACATCGACGCGCTACGTAGAAGAATATAACTATAATGCTGTGAGAACTTCAAATTTTATTTTATCATATGTTTCTGGATATGTTGCGCGAAAAGCAAGGATATTTTCTAAATGTGAAAAGTGTTTGCAACATATTTAAAGTGCAGAACCTCACGGCGGAAATCAACTGATAGAAACACTATTTGAGGATTTTTAATATTTCCAGCAATTGCTCTCCGTCATTTAATATTAACAATAGAGTCAACTGAACTCGACCAATCAGGTGCATCAAGAGACACTGTTTGAAATGTTACCAAAACTGGAAGAGAAATCTATATCTTTTTTAGGTGTGTGACAAAGAGCTGTTTACCACCACAATAATTAGATTCTACATCATCAGTAGAATGCACTTTATTTGTAAACAATCTAATAGAGCTGATCAAAAGAAAAAAACATATATATATATATATATATATATATATATATATATATATATATATATATAAGAAAACAATCTAAATTATAAAAACAAAAATTAATTTGTGGTGCCTACATCTACCACATGTATAGGCTTAATGCATACTCTTACGTACAGACTGTCCTATTTTCTTCTGTGTTTACAGGGATACAAGGATGCGGTTTTCCTTTATCATTAGAAATTTTGTTGTTTTACTGACTTGGGGAAGTATACCCCTTTACATCAACGAAATGAAAGGAAATGGAAAATGTCTCTTGTGAGCGAAAACAATCTAAATTATAAAAACAAAAATTAATTTGTGGTGCCTGGTGGTAGATGTGCAGGCTTATTCATTGTTGAAATATGACAAACTTATGTTTTTCTTTTAAATGGGACATCGTGTATATTATTTTATTTTATTTCCCTTATTATGAACTCTCTAAAAATATAATATACTCTATACTTATTTGCACATTTAATCTAGAAAGATATTGAGATCTATAGAAAATATTTGAATCGAAATAATATGTATATCTCTCGATTTAGCTAATATGAAAATAAAAAATGATGAGAGGGAATCAATAGCAAAAGAGTTTAACGCTTGTTCCAAAAGTGGAACTCGAACTACAAAACAGCTCCATGGGATGGGATAAAAAAAGCCAGAAGAAATATGCATCATGACAAGGTTAGTAAATTATCGAAAAAAATTTAAGACATTGATTATGCACATTATATTTTTGTATGTATAATAAATTTTATTTGTAAGTATTCTCGACCGCATGAATAAATGAAAGTGATATATTCTCGGGAACAGACTTCCCGAGAATATATCACGTTCAATAAATTTTAAATCGGTATTTTAGAAAGAAGTTTACAAAACAGGTGAAGGGATATTTACACCTAAAACTGACGCCCTAAATACAAAAATAGTGGATAAACTACGGGTTTAACTTAACTCAGAAATTTGTAGTATTTGTATGATTCGCCATCAAAAAAGTAATAAACAATTTCAAGTATTTTTACCTCAATAAAATTACATTTTTTAAACAAGGAGTAGTTAACTGTATGTATATAACCACTGAGGCTACTAGAAATAAATTAGTAACTCGGTTGAGAATGCTTTCCTCGTGTACCTTGAAAACACTTTCAACTGTCCCTAATTGAAATTATATTTTAACTAGCTTTATGTTAATTATGAAATACGTTTCAGATTTTATAATTCTTGATTATGCCACCGAATCCACTGATGAAGTTCACGAAAATAGTGAATTGCGAGAGTATCCAGATTGCAATACAGAAGCAGTTTTAAAAGTGCGGATTTTACGTAACGAACGTAAAAAATTGCAATAAACTGTCCCAGTGGTGCTATTCTTGACATCGTTCACAACTTTGCGTATACGCATTACATGTATTATTGTAATAAACAAAATGTAAAACAAAATTTAATTTAAGTAATCTATTTCTGAAGGCACCCTTCTTGTAGATGAAATGAATTGACAATACTGGCATTTAATAGCAGATCATTAGAAATTTTGGGATTTTCCACGTTTAATAAAAAAAACTTTAGAAACTTTGTTATTAAAAGATCCGGGACATGGGTGAGCAATTTTAGTAAGACGTTACTTATTTAATACAAAAAATTGATTTATATTAACGTTACAGACGCCCGATGGAGTTATTGAAATGGAGCAACCCAACAGCTTTTCGTTGAGGATTTATCCAAAAGTTTGTAATGATGACATCCATCCAAAACTTTACCAGAAGATGATTGTCACATTAAAAACCACACTTGGTGTCATGGATTTTCTGTGTGACAATTATAGATGTCAATATTTAATGACTGCAAAATAGAACCAAGATGCTCTTGAAGTATGTTATATGCAGTTTGTACCTCATTGTTACTAAGAGTATGTCTATTCTTTTCAGCGCTTTTTTGGAATGATGAGAAGTGTTCGTAGTTCTAACGATTACCTCGCCTCAAGGCTTTTCATCAAATGTTCCGTTTGATAAGCACCTACTTACTGGTTAAACCACCTTAAGGGAGTAATATCGAAGTGTCTAACTTATTGCGAAGTCTATTGAATGTTGAAGAGATTGTGAAGTTGGAAGATAATGCAATAAGGCTTCGAAACAGTGCTGACATTTTGATGGAAAATGGAATTTGGTTTAAAAATAGCGATAGTGACATCGACGTAGAGGAACTTAACTATAATGCTATGAGAACTTCAAATTTTATTTTATCATATGTTTCTGGATATGTTGCGCGAAAGGCAAGGAGATTTTCTAAATAACATATTCAAAGTGCATTTCAACATATTCAAAGTGCACAACCTCAGGACGGAGATAACATTCGGAGATAATAATCAACTGTCCTTGGAGTCTTATCAACAAATCAGTAGTGGGACTCTGTGTCATGTAGAATTCTACATATCGTCAGAATTCTATAGGATCGGCACTCCGTACAGCAACGATATCGAAAAGATGCGATTATTTTGGTCGCTTGATTTCTACATTTCAATTGGTATCGAATTCTACGTAGCGCATGCGTATTGAGAATATATTTGACACTTTTATATTTTTAAGGTTATTAGCAGTTATTAAATTAGTTATCTATTTTGTCTTGTTTGAAATGAAAGATTTTGTTTGTTGTTGTTTATGTTTTTGAGTTGTTGGCAACTCTATTTTGTGTGAGAGTTATTTAAATATGTTGCCAATTAACATAATAAATATCATGGCAGCAGAAGAAGAGGAAAGGCTAGAAGATTTTCGAAATCAAAATATAGAAAGGCCTATAATGCGAGATGGGAGCGATCCATTTTCAATCGAAGATGTACGGTTTGTAGAACTCTTTAGATTGAATAAAGACATGGCTCAATATGTTTATAATGGAATTGGACCTAATATGGTACAAACAAATAATCCTGTCGCTATTCCCTCCATATTAAAGTTCTTCGGAGTTTTGAGATTCCTTGCGACAGGGGCCTATCAGAGGGTTATTGGTTGTGGCTTCGATATATCCATGTCTCAGCAGAGCATCTCAAGGGCAGTGGAAGAGGTTACTACAACTATTACTAATACATTCTCCGAACAATGGATAAACTTCCCCACGACTGAAGCATCAAAAAATAATATTAAACAGGGATTTATGGCTGCATTCAATTTTCCTGGAGTGATTGGGGCTGTAGACTGCACACATGTAGAAATCGTAAGACCATCAATGGAGGAGCATAACTATCTAAACAGGAAGGGATACCACTCTAAAAATATTCAGTTGGTAAGTTTTTTCTTAACGTCTTAATGCTGTCCAATAAAATAAAGATTTTTTATCAAATTAAAGTTCGCATATAACCTATTTATTTTTATTATAATATTCTATTCCTTCTTACAGATTTGTGATCATCAACTGAAAATTTTAAATATAAATATCAGATATGCTGGAGCTACGCATGACGCTTATATATGGAGAAATTCAAGAGTTAGGGAACAATTGGAAAGGAATTACGAAAGAGGTAGGTTTTTATTTTTGATTAAAAGTACTCATTTGATATAGTTTGAACATACATATGGGCTTTATAATCTTCAAATAATGTTCTGAATGTATATGCCTCAAATGTATCACTAATATATTATAACAGTTCATATTTGCCAATATTTAAATTAATGTTTTTTCTCATCTAATTCAATTTTTAACTAGGTGAAAGAAACAGTTGGTTGTTGGGAGATTCAGGGTATCCGCAGGAACCCTGGTTGATGACCCCTATTGGAAATGCCTTGCCAAACACTCCTGAACATAGATATACCCAAGCCCAAATACGTGCTAGGAATTCTGTCGAGAGATGTATTGGAGTTCTCAAAGGAAGATTTTTATGTCTCTCGAAAATAATGAGATATTCTCCAGAGAAAGTTGGGAATATTTTTAATGACTGTGGGATTTTACATAACATATGTTTAAATGGTGTGTTAGATTTTGACCTACCATTACCTCCTCCTGCTGATGATCCTGATAACAATGTTTTTAATAATAGAGGAGATGGACATATCAGTAGGCAAAATCTTATACAAAGATATTTTACTTAGAATAGGTACACTACTTTTGTTTGTATGTACATATATAATAATAAAAAAAAGTATGTATTTTTTAATATTTTTATTCATTTTATTAACAAAAATTTTGTAGCTGAAAGAAAAAAATGCATTTCAACAAAAACCTTGCATTCTAATGGTGTCTATGCCAAAGTAACTTTTGTTTTAAATGAGTTCAAGATAACTTAAGTTTCAAGATACCCTATAAATACTTATGTATTTATTATGTCTTCGGACTGATACATGTAATTCACCTCTAAAAGAGTCCAATAACATGAATACTGTTTGTTTGGAAATTATCTTGAGCTTGTTTACATCAAGGAACTAAAATACAAACCTTGTATTCTTTTGGTTATTTTTTTAAAGAAGATTACAAAATAAGGATAATATCACAACTTAAAAACTAGATGTACTTTGGAATTTATCACATTGGATTTTATCACAAACATAAAAAATAGTAACACAACTCGAAATCTCAAAAAACTTTGGCTTTGAACATAGAGTAAATATAAATACTAACATACCTTTAAAACTACCTAATGATATTTGAAGTCAGTCTGATAGTTAAAAAAAACTCTAGGTATCTCCCAGAGCTATCTGAGTCAAAAAAAAAACGTTAGGAACTTATTTATTTGGAAAAGCATTTGTGACTATGTCAGCAATTTCTTTTATAGAATTTGCAATGTTTTCTGTATTACTGCTAATTTTTTGAAGTGAGTTGGACACTGATTCCATGCTTTGATAGATATCTTGTAGAATTTGGACTGATTGTTGGTTCAAATTTCGCAGTTCATTAGAAAGACGAAATGTAGCATTTGGCCGACGCCGAATTGGTCCTGATTTGTTGCTGCCCTGCTGTTCCATTTTTCTTTTCAAACCTATGGATGTACTTGGCACAAGGTCTTCAGAACAAGGGCCATGTGACGTATTTGGTATTTCAACCTATAATTCAATGCAATAATAGTATATGTATTGTGCAACAAGTTTCACCAACAAGTAGCACTACATATATACTATGAGTATGACTATGTAACATGAACTTTAGCGAGTGCTACAGTCATATGAAGGAGCAAGAATGCCTTTCACCATTTTACACACTAGATATAATTTTTCTATGATGGCAAGTTATTTGATTCAAATTTTAAAATATCAAGTTAATTTTGATGTTAAACATTGACAGAAAACAGCCTGCACAAAGTTGTGACAATACCAAACAGAAATAATAGAAAATAAAGCAAGCATGTACAAGATGTTTTGCACTCAGCAAGGTACAAAATACAATTTTTTAAAGTCATTTTTCCTGTGCAAAATTATATTTTCTCGTGTAGTTGTATAGACATACCTTTCTAACAAAAAAAAACACTAACCTTTCTTGCATAATCATGAATATATGGTACATCACTTTCTGAGGCAATTTCACTCACTTCTATTATTGGTGGTATCATTGGTGCTGTGTTTGACATGGTTTTTAATACAGTTTTGTTTGGAATCTCAACCTGTATATCAACACAATATTTTAAAACAAAAATTGATACATTAGAATATAACGTACTTTTCCAAAACCCAACTCTGGGACTGCCGCATCACCTTCTATTGCTTTCGTTCCCATTATTAATAACAATCTCTCATCTAATGGTGATAAGGGAGGTAGCTGAGATGGACCACCACCAGTCCGCTGTTGTTCCCTTTTTAGAGCTGCTGCTTTGGTTTTTGTCTTGCTCTTCCAATCAGTAAGTGTCTAAAAATTGTACAATTATATTTAGGTTTTTCTTGCACAGGCTATTGATACACTGTTAACTCTTAGAAATACTGACAAACTATAATTATTGCTTTGTAATACTTACTTTTCTCCATCCATCCACACTTTTCTCCCCAAATGCCAGAGAGTTTAACTTTGTGGCAATGTTTTGCCACAAAGCAGTCCCCTTCGCTCTGCCCTCAAAACCACTAAACTTATTTGTTACTAACTGTGGATTTTCCTCGCAACAAGTTAATAGCACTTCCCAATGTTCATTTCTCACCCTAATTTTAGTTTATAAAAAACAATTTTAATATTAAGGGGAATATTTACAAACTTTGACTACATCAAACACAGCAACAATAGCACGGTAACCCAAAATGAATGTAATTTTAAGAGAATTCGGAGACTCGCGTTTTCCTTATTTAAAAGAATGAAATAAACAAGGAAGGAATGGAGCGAACTAATCCTTTGTAATTAATAAAGAAGAATGACAAGTCGATATTTTTATATCAAGTAATAGGAAATTTAAAGGATGCCGAAAATAGACGATCGTTTTCGATAGCAGCACAGAGTGCCAAAAAAGGCGACAATCGCTACTAATAGTAGAATACGATAATAGAATTCGATATGTCAAATTCTACATGGCACGGAGTCCCAGCACAGATGCGTCAAAAGCCACTGTTTGAAATTTTATCAAAACTGGAAAAGAAATATATATCTTATGTTAGGTATGATCACAAAGAGCTGTTCAACATCACAATAATAATCAGATTCTACATTATCAGTATATCTCTCTACTCTACTGCAAGAAATTTGTTTTCTATATTATCAGTAGAATGCACTTTATTTTTAAACAATCTAATAGAGCTGACCAAAAGAAAATAGAAAAAACAATATATTTGAGAAAACAATCCAAATTATAAAAACAAAAATTAATATGTGGTGCCTGGTGGTAGATGTACAGGCTTAGGGCATAATCTGCTAGTCCGAAACAGTCTTGATTGAATGAGTGTAAGGGTAAGTAATTATGTACAGACTGTCCTATTTTCTTGTGTGTTTACAGGGATACAAAGATGCGGTTTTCACATCACTGTTGCTACTTTTTTATGCAGCTACAGATGCTACACACAGTTTGACCTGGTCATCGTAGCTTAGGGTTTTTTTGAAGGCACCCTTCTTGTAGATGAAATGAAATTGACTGAAATACTGGCATTTAATAGCAGACCATTAGCAATTTTGTTGTTTTACTGACTTGGGGAAGTATACCCCTTTACATCAACGAAATGAAAGGAAATGGAAAATGTTTCTTGTGAGCATATATGTGATTCCTCTCGACGTATATGGTTATCTTCAGATTTTCCATATTTAATATAAAAATTTTAGAAACTTGGTTATTAAAAGATCGTAGACATAGGTGAGCAATTTTAGATACACATTACTTATTTAATACAAAAAATTAATTTATGTTAATGTTGTTTTTTTGGAATGATGAGATGTGATCGTGGTTCTAACGATCACCTCGACTTTTCATTCAAATGTTCCGTTTGATAAGCACCTACTCACTGACTCACTGGTAAGAACCAGACCACCTAAAGGGAATAATATCAAAGTATCTGACTTATTGAGAAGTCTATTGAATGTTGAAGAGATTGTTAAGTTATTAACATATTAATCATTAATATGACATGTGTGTAAAATATTAATCATTTTAGATGCACATTAATTTAATACACAGGAATGCAAAATTTACTTTCTATAATTCGATTACGTTTTTGGCATATTAAAGGAAAAAAATGCATTAAAAAGAATATTAAATTCATGTTTTATTTGTTATTGTGCAATTCCGAGGGCAACCAAATTTCAATTGGGTACTTTACCGGAGTCACGTGTCACGCCGAGTCGTCCTTTTTCAAATTGCGGAGCGGACAACGCGAGACAACCCCCAATGGCTCGCATTGTCGAACTTTATCCTGGTGCAGACCAAATAGTTCCTGTTGTGTCCATTCGATAAAATGGATATATTTCTAAAAGATCGATCGCCAGTTATTATTCGTTACCAGTTGATACCGAGTCAATAGTTCGTCTCTGTTCGAGTTAAAAAAAGAAATTTACTACTGTCAGGACACAATGTGGCACAAATGCAATGTTGGATTATAATAATAATAATTACGAATACAATAACGAATACAACATCACAAAACCAGCACCATCATGAAACTCCTATACCTGATCTTAACTCTCCTTTCTGCATTCAATATCTTTTTTGGTCAAAAATTCACCATAAATTCAAGAATGACAAGATGGAATGAAGAAGCAATAAGTAATGGGTTTAAATCTACTTTTTATGGCCCCGATAAGTTGTGTATAGAGAAACCCTTCTCAAAATTCTACATGAAAAATTTAAATATATATACGACACAACTCAATTAGAATTAATGATGAAAATAATAAATGTTTTAATAATCTTTTTTCATTCATGATATCCAAAAACTTAACATTAACAAAATAAATTTATATGATGTCGCTTGCCTAGAGTTACACAGCTGGAAGCGCCACTTTTTTTAAAAATGAGATTTTGGGATTATAAAGTAGGTATAACAAAGTCGTATGTTGAAATACCCAGTGTTAGGCAACCAGCAATACATAAGTGTATGTATTTAAACATATAAAATAATAGGCACGAAGTTGTATGTGCCACATACAATTTTGTTACACTGAAAATTTCTAGGATAAGTACCTACATAAGTTACATAGTTGTATGTGTATTTTCAACTTCTTCAAAAGTTAAGTTATATTATAGTTTCATTTGCCAAAGAATACGTGATTGAAGGGTGAATTAGTAGTAATTTAAAGATGGATAGTTTCTAAGATAGTGAGGATGATCTGAAAACAATTCAAATGCGAGAGAAACGTCGCCGACTTCAACAAGACACGTGAGTTTTTTCAAATCTAAAGCATCAGGGTATTATAAAATAATATTATCTTAGAATGGGAGAGAGCTCACAAAATGCTAGATTATTTGACTGCAGTGATGATTCTGATGTAGACAAGGAATATCTTCCAGATTCATCGCCAGACACTAGCAGATATTTTGAATATCATAATCAATCTTAATTTTTTTATTTAATTTATGTGTTTGTAGCTCAGACCAAGAATTTATGGAAGGAAGCGGCCATATTATCACAGCAGAAGATAGTGAAGGTGAAACCAAGGGAAAGAAAAATGTTCGAAAAAGGACAAGGAATCCAAAGTCTTGGGCGTGCAATGTGAGGAAAAAAGCTCATGATGAAGGAGAAGAGTACATGTCTGTACGAAAAAAACTAGTTCCTGCAAAAGGCGTGCTGACCAAAAAGAACTGTTTAACTAGTTGCGTTCACGGATGCCAAAAAGTTATTTCTGATCAAGAGAGAAACATAATATTTCAAAACTATTATATCCTTGGTGAACAGGCAAAGAAATTATTTTTGCTCGCCACTACCCAAAAATTTTTGGTAGAGAGGCATAGAAAAAAAAATGCACAAAACAGTCGCCGGAAACATACTTTTCGCTATTATTTTAACGTCTCGGAACAAAGGATTGAGGTGTGCAAGGTATTTTATCTGGGGACGTTATGTATTAGTCAGACTCCAATATATAATGTACATTTAGGAAAGGATACCGTGTCGAACACACCTAAAGAGAGCAGGCAAGGAGATATGTTAAACACAGTATCAATGATGATGATAAAACATTTCTTAAAAGGCACATCGACAGTTTCCCCAAAGTGGAGTCTCACTACTGCCGGGCAAATAGTAGTGAGAGTACCTAGAATTAAACCTTAGCATTACAAAAATGTATTTGCTCTATGTGGATCTCTGCCAGTCAGAAAATAAGGAACCTATTAAGGAGTCATTTTATAGGCATGTTTTTTGCAACGAATATAACCTTTTTTTTTTCATACTCCAAAGAAGGACAGATGTGACTTGTGTGAGGAAGTAAAGCTACAGACAATAGAGAACAGACTATCCACTAAGAAAAATGAAGAGTATCCAAGACATTCCATAGAAAAGGGAGCTTGCAGAAATGAAAAAAATGCTGACAAGGAAGATGAAAACACTGTTATTTTATGTTTTGCTTTGTCATGTCCTCGAGCAGAAATTAGTAGTTTTTACTATAGGAGTAAGTTTAATGTATATAATCTAACAGCTATCCTGTCAAGTACAAAGAAAGTATACTGTGCTGTTTGGCAAGAAATGTTTATGGGACGAAGTGGCAATGACATTGCCAGTGCTGTGGTAACAATCTTGGAAAGGGTATTCGATGACAATCCAGATCTCACCAACTTAGTATTGTAGCATATTTTTTAAACTTGCTACGTTTTTTTTGATAATAGTCCTTTCTCTTTTTAATTAAGTATTTATAAATTTCTCATAATTAATTATAATATTTAGATATATCATTATAATTATTTTATATATGTTTAACAGCAGCGGGTGAGCTACGCAGTGTTGACAGTTTCTTTTAATTTATCTTTCTAATATTTTTCCCCAAAATACCTGTTTATTTGGTCAGTACGGCAACGCCGCTAACTTCCGTTTTCTGATGTCATTTCTGGATTGTCAAAATCTTTGGAGGTTCATTTTGGGTCGATGGTTGTTCTTTTCCCTCCGATCGCCATATTGGCGTGGCGATCGGGAGGAGATCGTCATTTTTGGTGGAATCCTTGCCCGTTACCTGTTGGTTCCTGTGGGGATTACCAGCATAATTATTGGATGTTTGATATTATAAGTTTTTAAAAAAGATTTGCCTGAACCAAAATAGTATAGATTTGTTTTTTCGGTGTGCCATGTGGCCAGATATGGGGTGTTCACTTATTCACTTTTTTACCTTTTCAATTCTGATTCTTAATAATTTTCATTAGATTTGGACAATTTTGGAATGGATCCACTAATTTTGTTAATTAAATTGTCGATGGTAGCAGGATGACTTGTTAGTTACGCTTTGGGGTAAGGTATAATAACCTAAAATCTACAAATATTAATTTAAATATTGTCCACAGGGTTTTGGTTTTATCTTTC